GCAGAAAACTATAAGACACTGATGAAAGAAATTAAAGATGATACCAACAGATGGAGAGATATACCATGTTCTTGGATTGGAAGAATCAATATTGTGAAAATGACTATACTACCTAAAGCAATCTACAGATTCAAATGCAATCCCTATCAAACTACCAATGGCATTTTTTATGTCACTAGAACAAAAAATCTTAAAATTTATATGGAGACACAAAAGACCCTGAATAGCCAAAGCAGTCTTGAGGGAAAAAAAAGGAGCTGGAGGAATCAGACTCCCTGACTTCAGACTATACTACAAAGCTAAAGTAATCAAGACAATATGGTACTGGCACAAAAACAGAAACATAGATCAATGGAACAAGATAGAAAGCCCAGAGATAAACCCACGCACCTATGGTCAACTAATCTATGACAAAGGAGGCAAGGATATACAATGGAGAAAAGACAGTCTCTTCAATAAGTGGTGCTGGGAAAACTGGACAGCTACATGTAAAAGAATGAAATTAGAACACTCCCTAACACCATACACAAAAATAAACTCAAAATGGTTTAGAGACCTAAATGTAAGACCAGACACTATAAAACTCTTAGAGGAAAACATAGGAAGAACACTCTTTGACATAAATCACAGCAAGATCTTTTTTGATCCACCTCCTAGACTAATGGAAATAAAAACAAAAATAAACAAATGGAACCTAATGAAACTTAGAAGCTTTTGCACAGCAAAGGAAACCATAAACAAGACGAAAAGACAACCCTCAGAATGGGAGAAAATATTTGCAAATGAATCAACGGACAAAGGATTAATCTCCAAAATATATAAACAGCTCATGCAGCTCAATATTAAAAAAAAAACAACCCAATCCAAAAATGGGCAGAAGACCTAAATAGACATCTCTCCAAAGAAGACATACAGATGGCTAAGAAGCACATGAGAAGCTGCTCAACATCACTAATTATTAGAGAAATGCAAATCAAAATTACAATGAGGTATCACCTCACACCAGTTAGAATCGGCATCATCAGAAAATGTACAAACAACAAATGCTGGAGAAGTTGTGGAGAAAAGGGAACCCTCTTGCCCTGTTGGTGGGAATGTAAATTGATCAGCCACTATGGAGAACAGTATGGAGGTTCCTTAAAAAACTAAAAATAGAACTACCATATGATCCAGCAATCCCATTACTGGGCATATACCCAGAGGAAACCATAATTCAAAAAGACACATGCACCCCAATGTTCATTGCAGCACTATTTACAATAGCCAGGTCATGGAAGTAACCTAAATGCCCATCAACAGACAAATGGATAAAGAAGATGTGATACATATATACAATGGAATATTACTCAGCCATAAAAAGGAACGAAATTGGGTCATTTGTTGAGACGTGGATGGATCTAGAGACTGTCATACAGAGTGAAGTCAGAAAGAGAAAAACAAATATCGTATATTAACGCATATATGTAGAATCTAGAAAAATGGTACAGGTGAACCAGTTTGCAGGGCAGAAATTGAGACACAGGTGTAGAGAACAAACGTATGGACACCAAGGGGGGAAAGCCGCGGGGGGTGGGGGTGGGGTGTGATGAATTGGGAGATCGTATGGACAAAGGGGGGAAAGCCGCGGGGGGTGGGGGTGGGGTGTGATGAATTGGGAGATTGGGATTGACATGTATACACTCATGTGTATAAAACTGATGACTAATAAGAACCTGCTGTATAAAAAATAAATTTAATTTAATTTAAAACTTAAATTAAAAAAAAGCAGGAAATGACCAAAAATCATAAAATGGAGTTTTAGAGGAAGGAGTTATGTTCCTATGATGGGTGAAATCCAAAAAACCTTCCTGAAGGCGGTAACATGGAGGAAAAGCTAACAGTTAAGGAGTTAACCCTGGTGGCTCTCGCTTCAGACAGTCTGGGGTTTGTGTCTTAGCTCGGTCTCTGTGTTACTTTCACCTCTCTAAGCCCTCATCAGTAAAACAAACGTACTTAACTTAGAGGGCTCTTAGGAAGACTGAGATAAGATACGTAAAGGTGCTTTAATCAGTGCCCAGCCCACAGTAAGCATTCTATAAATGTAAACTGTCATTATCATTATTGTTACTGATCAAAGCGTGCTGACCTTACCAGCAGCTAGTGGCTGACCACAGCTCTGTGGAGCAATGGAAAACTTCCTAATACCCTGAGTAGAAAGGCGCGACACCACAAAGCGGCCGGATCTGGCTCCACGTTCCAGCATCAAGGACTCTCGGCCTCAGCCAACCGTTTCCCAAATCGCGGAAGAAGTACCGGGCCGCTCTAGCAACGTTGTCCTCCAGCTCTCGGTGGTGGGAGGCCTTGCGCTTGCGCAGTGGGTGGGCGGCGGGCGCGGGCCGGTCTGACGGGCGAGGCGCGGCTGCGCGCTGGGAGATGCGGACGGGTGGCCCCTATCTTCGCAGGTAATCGCGCGCGGGCGGGTGCCAGGGAAGGAGGGAGGAGCTCATCACGCCTCGGGCTCGGGCTGGGGAGGCCGCCTTCGCGCTCACCAGGTCTTCGGTCCTCTACGGACCCTGTCAGCTGGGGCTTCTCGGTTCCTGAAGTGAGACCGGGGCGCGCTCGGGCGGCCCACTCAGAGTCCCATCCTGGACCGCGTCCTACCCCAGCGAGCCGCCGAGGTGCCGGCGAAGCCTCGGTAGGACCGCCTTGGGCCCCACGCCGATCTCCCTGCCTGAATAAGCCGGATCCCAGCGCATCCCAGGGGAGCTCTTGAAGAGGGAAGGAGCCCCAGTTTATGTTTACGAATTTAGCCCTCTCTAGTTTCGTGGTTGGAATAGAGGGTTCATCCCCAGGTTCTGGCTTTTGATTGCTAACTTCAGGGACAGGGGTCAGTACCTCACAGAGCAGCCTATTTTCATTTTTGGAGGGGACTAAGATCTTCCTCACAGAACTTTCATCGTCTGGTGTTATTCAGAGGGACGTTAAACCATTCCCAGTTTGGAAGACAGCTGCCATCTACCCTCTCACACCCTTCTTTTGGGTTTATGCTTCCATGATCTTACACCTGGTCCTTAGGTGTCCTTCCATTTAAGGCCAGTCATTCTGGTAATTCTCTTCTGGATTCACTCCTATTTTCCAGATTCTCCCAAAACTGGGTTCCTAAAATACATTTGTAAGTAACACAGTTCTCAAGTCAGACAGACTTGAATTCTAATCCAGGGCTCTGCCAACTCAAGTATGTGACTTTGGGTAAGTCCCTTAACTTTGCTAAGCCTCAGTTTTCTCATCTGAAAATGGGGATAATCATATGTATCTCCAGGTGATTGTGCGGATGAAAGGTGAAGAACATGAAATACTTAGAATGCTACCTGGTACATAGTAAGCACTCAATTGATATCAATTACTTTTTGAACAGAGAATTCCCAAAAGAAGCACAATTTTCTTAAAGTCAAATGCAAAACATAATAATAGCAATAAAACATTTTGATATAATCAAATTGATGGAACAATTTAATATAATCATTTTGGAAAGCAATGGTAATATATGTCAGGAGCTTCAGAAATCTCAGTTACTTCATTTCACAAATGCACATCTGAAAATTTTCTCTGGGAATTAATCATAATGCAGAAAATATGCAGAAAGATGGTAATTATAGCATTATTTATAAAAGTGAAAACATTTAAACATTTTTTAGTGGAAAATTTTAACATACACAAAAGTAGAATAGGTAAGTGAACCCCCATGTATTCATCACCCAGCTTCAACAATGGTCAATATTTTGCCTATCTTGTTTTTGTGAAAAAGTTTGAACCTACGAAATGTCTGAAAATAGAACAGTTGAATAAACTGGGGTACATTTATTTAGAGTGCTATTAAGCTTTTAAAATAAGACAGAATTGTATTATAAAATAATACAGAATTGTATTATAAAATAATACAGAATATATAGTATTATCACAACTATGACAATTCAAAAACTAATATCTAACCTGTGTAGAAAAAAAGACAGCAAGGAAGTACAGTAAAATATTAACTAGTTTCCCTTTGGTGGTGGGACTGTGGATGATTTCCTCCCCTTCTGTTTTTAGATATTTAACAAATATTTCCTTAAAATCATGTATTGTTGTTATAACAAACAATGAACAAACAAAATCTAAAAATATTGCATCTGAACTAAGGACAGAAGAATATGCCAGAGCAGGTTCACTGTTATAGAGACTAAAGACGCTTTGACTTTCCTTGATCTATTTTTGCAGCCTACGTTTACATGAGCATTCTTTTTCTTTTCTCTTCTTTTTTTTTTTTTTTTTTTTTTTTTTTTTTTGTGGTACGTGGGCCTCTCACTGTTGTGGCCTCTCCCGTTGCGGAGCACAGGGTCCGGACGCGCAGGCTCAGCGGCCATGGCTTACGGGCCCAGCCGCTCTGTGGCATGTGGGATCTTCCCGGACCGGGGCACGAACCCGTGTCCCCTGCATCGGCAGGCAGACTCTCAACCGCTGTGCCACCAGGGAAGCCCTACCTGAGCATTTTTGTCTGCCACCCTGTGCTAGTGCTTCATATTGAGCTCATATGGTCAGCTAACACGTCCAGATCTTTAACCAGTCATCCTCTGTGTGTAAGTGATTGGACTTTGAAATTTTATTCCCCTTATTTTGACTAGTGTTTCCCCTCAGGATAGAGCAAGATTTCTGGTGATAGGATGGCTCTTTCCCATTTCTTCTTTTCTTCGTCCTGAGCAGGCATCTATCTCATACCTCATGCATTTACACACTCTTCCTTGAACAACCACTTTGAACAACTCAAGTGAGATAGTTTTATCACAATATTTTTCTTGCTCAAATAGATTATAATGAGATCTGACCAAAAATCTATTCTGCTTTTGTTTGATGAACTAGATCCACTTTTTAAATTGACATAGTACATTTAAAAACAGTTAAGGGAGGGGTCACCTTACAAGAAACTGTGTAAATGAGTTTTATTTCAAATTAGCTTGTGAAGAAACTTTGTTTCCTAGGTATGCAAAGAAGCCTTTTCACACAGATGTCCTTAGAGATAATATGGATCAGTCCGGAGTTCTCCTCTGGGTGAAAGCAGAACCCTTTATAGTGGGCGCCTTGCAGGTACCCCCTCCATCCAAGTTCAGTCTTCACTATCTCAGGAAGATATCCACCTATGTGCGAACCCGGGCCACAGAGGGAGGTTACCCACGCCTGTCCTGGTCTACATGGAGGCACATTGCGTGTGGAAAGCTGCAGTTGGCTAAGGATCTGGCATGGCTTTACTTTGAAATATTTGATAGTCTTGCAGTGAAGACACCGAAGGAGCGCCTGGAATGGTCTGAGATTCTGTCCAACTGCATGTCTGAGGATGAAGTCGAAAAGCAAAGAAATCAGGTATGGATTTATATGTACATGTATGTGTGTTTAATTACTTTGGGAAATAAACTATTTAAAATTTTTGTACTAGCTGTACAGTGTGCAGTTTAAGGTTTTAATGACCATGTGATGCCAAAGCACCATTTAAGTTTTAGCAGTTCCAGTTTGGCAATATTTAGTGAGTTAGTCCTTACTTAGCAATCCTTATTCACTTATTTTTAAAGCAGTAATGTTATAGAAACCCTGTAATTGGAAGAGAGAAATATTTTCATTGACATTAAAACTATTGAGGTACATGAGTGCTTATGAACTGCTGACATGTTACAGTCTGAGCACCTGACTTTTTTTAAGTGAGCATCTGCTATATGCTGAGATTCAAAGATGATTAGAACAGCAGCTCTGACCTCATGGAGCTCATAGACTAGTAGGTGGAGCTCATAGACTAGTAGGTGAAGCTGGTGTGTAAAAAAGTGCTATTTAATAGACATTTCTCCAAAGGAGACATACAGATGGCTAATAGGCACATGAAAAGATGTTCAACATCACTAATTATTAGAGAAGTGCAAATCAAAACCACACTGAACTCTACTCAGTACTCTGTAATGACCTATATGGGAAAAGAATCTAAAAAAGAGTGGATATATGTATATGTATAACTGATTCACTCTGTTGTACAGCAGAAACTAACACAACAGTGTAAATCAACTGTGCTCCAATAAAAAAGAAACCCACATTGAGGTATTACCTCACACTGTTCAGAATGGCTATCATCAAAAAGTCTACAAACAATAAATGCTGGAGAGGGTGTAGAGAAGAGGTTACCCTCCTACACTGCTGGTGGGAATGTAAATTGGTGCAGCCACTATGGAAAACAGTATGGAGGTTCCTTAAAAAACTAAAAATAAAGCTACCATATGATCCTGCAATCCTACTCCTGGGCATATATACAAATAAAACTCTAATTTGAAAAGATGAATGCACCCCAATGTTCACAGCAGCATGTTTACAATAGCCAAGGCATGGAAGCAACCTAAGTGTCCATTAATAGATGAATGGATAAAGAAGATGTGATATATTTTGAGATATATATATATGTATATATATAATGGAATATTACTCAGCCATAAAAAAGAATGAAATAATGCCATTTGCAGCAACATGGATGGACCTAGAGATTATCATACTAAGTGAAGTAAGAGAAAGACAAATATTATATGATATCACTTATATGTGGATCTAAAAAATAGTACAAATGAACTTATTTACAAAACTGAAACAGACTCACAGACATAGAAAACAAACTTGTGGTTACTAAAGTGGAAGAGGGGCAGTGGTAATTTAGGAGTATGGGGTTAACAGATGCAAACTACCATATATAAAATAGATGAACAACAAGGATCTGCTGTATAGCACAGGGAACTATATTCAATATCTTGTAATACACTATAATGGAAAAGAATAAAAAAAAGAATATAAATATATTACATATGTATATATGTATAACCAAATCACTTTGCTGTACACCTGAAGCTAACACAATATTGTAAATCGACTATACTTTAGTTTAAAAAGTGCTATTTAATAGTATGGAATGTGCAATAAAAGTATGCATAAAGTACAGAAATAGAATAGAGAAGAGAATGATTAATTCTGGTGATAAGGAAAGACTTCACAGAGAAAGTATATTAATCAGGGTAGGCTATTACAGTAACAGGTGATCCCAGCATTTTAGTGGCTTGGTGCAATAACAGTTTATTTCTTATTCATGTGGCAGTCCAACATAGGGCATCTGGTTGGATGAGTCTCTAGGCTGCTGTCATCTAAGCAATGACTGAGGGATCTAGGCATCTTCTGTCTTTTGGAGCCACTATTATACTAGGTTAAAAACAAACAAAAATGAAATTTCAGTGGCTTATAGTAACTAAGGTTGATTTCTTGCTTATTTTACATTTAGGCTGCACCTTAGCTATGGCTGTTTTCCAGGCTGTGGCTCTATGTGTCTGCCCATTTGGAGACTCAGGCTGAAGAGCAACAGAGCAGGAGAAAAGTGTTGATGCCTCTTAAAACTTTTGCTCAGATGTGACATAAACTATAACTACTTTTGTTCCATTGGCCAAAAGCTTTGTCACATGTCCATGCCTGAAATTAATAAGATGGGAGGTAAACTACCTCACAGGAGGTAGGGAAATCCCATGGCCATGGGAAGGGCCGTGTAAGCCTCTTGGAGGATGAGGAAGTGAACAATTGCAAATAAAATACGGTTTTCCACAGCCATTCCCACTAGGGCCTGAGTCCTTCACTTCCATTTCTTTGGGATAGTTTTCGGGAGGCTTAAAAGCAGTATGTGTAAACCCACCCACATTCCATTGACTAACCCAGTTATGCCATATGCAACTTCAAAGGAGGCTGGGAAATGCCATCTAATTGTGTGCTCAGGAAGGGAAGGCATTTAGTTAGCATCTAGCCAGTCTCTACCACATGGTATAATACCTAAACAAGGGTTTGGAGATTGAAAAAAAGCTTGGCAAGCAGCCAGGAGGAGAAGGGCATTATAGTTTTCATTAATTAAACATTTATTGAGTGCCTACTATGTGCTAGGTACAGTAGTGGGTGCTGTAGATACAGAGATGAATAAAACCTTCAAGAAGCTCTAATTTTTTTGAGTGCTTATTACTATGTACTAGTTTCTATGGTAGTCACTAGGAATATAAAAATGAAAAAGAGAAAGATCTTACAGTCTCATGGAGAGGCAGGTATATGAAGGAATAATGATAATATAACAAATAATTGTTAAATGGAAGTATGTATAAAATCAGGGAATTACATTGAGTGAAAAAAGTCGATCTCAAGAGGTGACATACTATATGATTCCATTTATGTAACATTCTTGAAATGACAAAATTATGGAGATGGAGAACAGATAAGTGATTAGGGGCTAAAGAAGGGGTGAGGTAGGGTGGGAAGTGGAGCCACTAGTATAATAGTGGCTTCAAAAGACAGAAGATGCCTAGATCCCTGAGTTATTGCTTAGATGACAGCAGCCTAGAGACTCATCCAACCAGATGCCCTGTGTTGGATTGCCACGTAAATAAAAGGCTATATATAAAAGGGCAACATGAAGGAACCTTGCGTGGATGGAAGTGTTCTGTACCCTGACTGCATCCGTGTCAATACCCTGGCTGTGCTGTTGTATGATAGTTTTGCAAGATGGGAAACTGGATAAAAAGTACATGGGATCTCTCTTTTCTTGCAGCTGCATGTGAAACTGCAGTTACCTCAAAAAGTTTAATTAAGAACGTAAAATTTTTTTTTAATATATAGATTCATGAGGTTCCACACTGACAGCTGATTGAATTGGTAGGTTTAGGTGATCCTGAGAATCCATATTTTTAAGTTCCCTAGGCATACTGATTTTTAGCCATGTTGGGAATCAGGGTGAATATAGCTGTAGACCCAGATGTATTACTTCACTTTTTTGCCTCTCTTGCATGTGTATGGGAATGGGTATATGAGGATAATGATGAGCTTCAAATCCTGAGCTTCAAACCACCCTTCGTCAAATAAGAAATGACTTAACATCTGTCAGACCAGTAGTATTTTTTTTTTAAGTCGAACACCCTTTTAAGAATTTGATGAGACCTGAGGCCTACTCCCCACAAAATGCATATACACCAAAAAATTGCGTACAATTTCAGGTGTTGCACTGATATCCTGAACTTTCTTGATAAGTCTGTGATCAGGTTAAACTAACCTCTGTGTCTTGATTAAATTTCCTTCTTCCTTTCTTTCATCTGTTTGTTTATTCAGATTACTAAGTTTTTTTTTTAACTGTAATTTTAAACTTCTGAAATAATATACTTTAAAAAAGTATGTACTTCATCCTTTCCACTTCATCAGTTTTGGGAGAGAATGACTATGGCCATAGATGCTACATAGCTTTCTGAGAAAGTAAGTGACTCCAGTTTAATTAGTTTTAGAAACTCCTACATCTGGGTGTCAGAGACATACATATCCAATGCTAGCAACGTTTCCACATTTGTCTTCTTAGGATCAGCACACTGTTGTGAATTTCTTTTACTATATCTACTTATTTACTATATCTAATAGTGGTTGATGTTGTTTTAAGACATGTGTTCATCATTTATTTTCTTCTTGGACAGCTTTCAGTGGACAGCCTACAGTTTCTGCTCTTCTTATATATACAACAGCTAAACAAGGTCTCCCTGAGGACATCTTTGATTGGAGAAGAGTGGCCTAGTCCCAGACACAGATCTCAGTCTCCTGACCTGACTGAAAAATCCAGTTGTCATAATAAGGTACTGTTTAAATTATGATCTCTTTCTCTGAAAGGGACAATTTGTGAGGGAGACAGTTTGCCTTCATTAAAAATTACTTTGAATTACTTATATAAGCCAGAGATTTGTTGGCTTGATTTGTTTTGTTTTGTTTTTTCTTTCTTTTCCTAATTATAAAACGAAATCAATATGTGCAGTCTTAAGATAGAGAAGTGATTTCATTTCCTTCAACGACACAAAAATCACTTAGATAATTTTCAGGCAAATCGTTCACTCTACTCTTACTAGCATTCCCATTTTTGCAAATGTTAATGAATTTGATTTCGCATGATTGTAGGCGACTCCGTTAACTTCTCTAACTTGGCTTCTTTTCTCTAAATGGAGACGATAATGCCTATTTCTGAATGGCCGTGAGAATTCGGTATTACATAGCACAAGACTTGTTGCGTCGTAAGCACCAGTATATGGTGACTAGTTTGTGCTGTAGCATGACCTCTCCCAGCAACCGATTGGACCAGGGATGGACACTTGACTAGAATAACCCATTCCTAAGTATGTATTTGAAATTGGTCTGATTTGAAATGATGATCTGGCCCAATCAGTACCCCAGGGATTGAAGAAATTACCCAGTTGGTGATAGGTATTTGCTGGTAGCTCATGTGGCATTGGGACCAGAATAGCTACCACATCCGTGAGTGACCTGGAGTTATGAGGGATTAGCAACTCTGAGATAAAGAAGAGAATGGAACAGATATGCAGAGAGACCTGAGAGAGAACCAGGTTCAAGATGGCTTTCCAGTTCCAGTTCTGATGAGGTCTCCCTGTACTTCAGTTTGGGAGATGATTGTATGTCCCTACAGTAGAATCTCCCTTCACTTGAATTATCTTGTATTCCCCATTCCAGTGAACGTTACCACCAGCCACCCATGCTTTCTCTATCACCACCCATACCTGGTTAGTTGTCAAGTCTTACTGATTCTGCCTTCAAAATAACTCTTTAAAATTTTGTCCTTTTTTTGGGAATTCCCTGGCAGTCCAGTGGTTAGGACTTGGTGCTCTCACTGCCAGAGGTCTGGGTTCGATCCCTGGTCCGGGAACTAAGATCCTGCAAGCCTCGAGGTGCAGCCAAAATAAAATTTATCCTTTTTCTTCCTCTGTATAGGCCCTAATGTCATTTTTTTTTTTTTGCTTTGATTTCTATAATTAGATCCTACTTGGTCACCCTGCTTTTAATCTATAGCCCACCTACTACACTGGACTTTCTAAAATACAGATCCGTTGTATCCATCTCCTGTCAGAACTCCATCAGTGAATTCTCATTGTCATTGTTGTTTTCATCTTGTACTGTTTGGAGCCTTCTTAGGCCTGCTTACCGTGGGGGAGGGAGATGCAGCAAGAGGGAGGAAGAGCAGGTGAGGCTGTGGACAGCTCTGCTTTGAAATGTTCTTTGGCATCCAAATGAGAGTTTATTAAAAAGAAAAATGGTATAGCTATTTACAAAATAGTTTATTTTGTCTCTGGCACACAAAATAAAGTTCAGATATCTTAGTATTTCATACAGAGCCTTTCGTGACTGGTCCCTGCCTACCATTTTACCTTTACCTGCCACTTCCCAGCATGCTCCCTACACCCCACCCAGAACTTCCATTTCTCTGAACACAGCAGGTGATTTTACTCCTATGGGCCTTTGGTTGCTGTTCCCTAGGCCTAGAATGCTTTTTTCCCTGCTCTGTTTGCATAACTACCAGCGTCAATCAAGAATCTATTCAAACAGCGCTCCATTAAGATTTGTTTTCCCCAAATGGAGTTCGTTGTTCTTCTCATGCTCATAGAACATCTTACAGATCTCTGCTATCCCACTCTGTTATAGTTTTTTGTTTATATTGTCATTTCACTACATAGTTGCTGAATTCCTTGAGGACAGGAACTATGTCTTATTTAGTTTGCATAATTCATCACTTAACACTGCTCATATCACATATCTGTCAAATGAATAAGCCAAGTTATTGGTACGTCTGCCAACTCAAAGCTTATTCCCAAGGTTATAACTTCTCTTTTCTTTTTTAAATTTATTTATTTTATTTATATTTATTTTTGGCTGTGTTGTGTCTTGTCGCTGCGCGCGGGCTTTCTCTAGTTGCAGCGAGCGGGGCTACTTTTCATTGCTGTGCGCGGGCTTCTCATTGTGGTGGCTTCTCTTATTGCGGAGCACAGGCTCTAGGCACACGGGCTTCAGTAGTTGCAGCACACAGGCTCAGTAGTTGTGGCTCACGGGCTCCAGAGTGCAGGCTCAGTAGTTGTGGTGCACGGGCTTAGTTGCTCCGTGGCATGTGGGATCTTCCCGGACCAGGGCTCGAACCCGTGTCCCCTGCATTGGCAGGCGGATTCTTAACCACTGCGCCACCAGGGAAGCCCCCAAGGTTATAACTTCTCTTAAATCTGGTTACTGTAAGATCAGTTGCCTTGTTTCATTAGATTTTGAAATTCCTTCTGTAATTTGAGAAGGTAAATTTACAAAAAACCTAGTGCTTCATGAAATGAATATCTGAGGTGGTTATTTTTATGTTTGATCTGAAATTTTTCGAATATTTAATACTAGCTGTGTGACCTTGGGCAAGTTTCTGAACCTTATTGTATCTCCATTTCTTCATCTGTAGAATGGGCATGGTAATAGCATCTATCCTAAGACTGTTGCTAGTTATAAATGTGTTAAAGTTTGTAAAACAGTATTTGGCACACACTGAGGGTTAGCTACTAGTATTACTTTTGAATTATCTAAGGTAGAGAGAGAATCTGTTTATACCTATTACGTGCACAGAAAATCTTTATAAGGTTTATATAGCCACTTTAAATACTTTTGGGAGGATGAGGCAAAGTATAAATACAAAATAATTAAAATATAAAAGTCTCAGGTCTTACTGTTCTGTTGAAACAATGAGTTTCAATCTCATTGTTCTGTTAAAAGTGCTTTCTTTTGATATTTTTTAGAACTGGAATGATTATAGTCACCAAGCTTTTGTCTGTGATCATCTGTCAGATCTCCTTGAACTGCTTGTAGATCCAGAACAACTCACTGCATCATTTCATTCAACCCATAGTAGCCTAGTCTCTCGAGAAGCTGTTGTAGCACTCAGCTTTCTTATTGAAGGTACAGTGAGTGGAGCCAGGAAGATATATCCACTTTATGAACTTGCACTGTGGCAACCACTACATGCAGAAAGTGGCTTCTCAAAGACCTCTAAGGCCTTTTCTTTCTACAAGCTGGAAGCCTGGTTGAGAGCCTGTTTAACTGGGAATCCATTTGGTATATCTGCTTGCCTCAAGTCTGGGAAGAAATTGGCTTGGGCTCACCAAGGTATTTATTAATATTTTAATCTATGTTAAACTGAATGACAGGTTAAGGAACCTAGTGTTTTCTGGTGTATTAATGATCCCATGTCTTTTGTGGAAGACCTAAAAAATATTGCTACTATAAAACAGAAAAAGGGAACGTCTCTTTTGTATATGACTTTTTCTCAAGGCTGCAACAGTCTGAGAGAGTTGATTCATTAGTCCAGGTTGTTTTGGTTGCAGTTAGTAGAAACTCCAACTAAGGTCAGTCCTTTTCTTTGCTCTGCTCTTCTCTTTTTGGACTCTTTTTCCCCTCTCACTCTCATATGCTCATTTGCTTGAAGCTTTCCTATTTTCTCTGCACCCTAGCAGAAATTGGCCATTCCCTAGTTACAACCTCATAGAGTTGGTGTAAAGATGAGATTCTTTTTTAGCTACACAGACACAAGCAGACTAGCTATTTCTAAATTGGAAATTTAAATTCATAGTAGAGAGAATTACGCTTTGGTTGCAAATGTATCTATTCCTGATAGTCCAGGGATGGCTAAAGGGATAGGTTCAGGTACTGTATGACTTCTTCGGGCCCAGATAGAAGTTTTAAGAGAAGAGGGACCCAGATAGAAGTTTAAAGAGAAGTAGGTACCTGTACTAAGGCCAAGCAAAATTAATGGGAAAAAACTAGAATATACTTCCACAATCTCTGAGTTTCAAAGGTAAAGAAAAAATAGTTTCCGTGCAAATGTAAAAAAAAAAAATCAGTTTCATATCAAATGTTTATAATTCTGAAAACCAGAAAATGGTTGAGCAACATCTACAGTGACCCAAGTATTATATATGCAACCAAGCTATTGCTCTAGCATGAGCTCAGATTCTCAGATATGTAAGGCTCCTACAAATATACAGGAGATACTACATAATTCTTGATGTTGGTAAAAGAATATAAGTAAGTTTTTAAACGTTGTTAGGGTAGGCACTGGAGGGAAAAGGACATCTGACCTTTTAGGATTATACCAAAACATATTAGATAGTAGGATTACAAATAATTTTTATCTTGTTTTACTACTAGTATTTAAAATTTTTCTACAGTAGCCATATGTTACTTTTCTAATAAAAGGAAACAATAAGAATTGTTTTAAAAGAAGAATAGCATACTATGTGACCTCTCCACATTTGGCCAATTTTCTTTACAAGGGTATCCTGATGGTTTTCTGGGAAGTACAGTCTGAGAAAGCTATGATGTAATGGTGGGACTGTGTTAGGAGGGCAGCCTGCACAGATTTCTTGAGGGTGAGTTAGTGTTTAAGGCACCACGTTCGAGAGGAAGATGTGCTCTCAGTTAGTAATGATCCTGGGAGTAAAGACGTGAACCCAAATACAATTCATGGAATGATGTGGTAAGTAACTTAGGAGGGGTTCAGAATTAGTATTATGGCAATTTAAAGAGATTATTTAAGAGTTGGGATGATAAATTAAGGCTGGTTGGAGAAGATACTATTTGAGTTGGGCCAGCTCTGCCACTTACTAGCCATATGGCCTTAGGCACATTACTTAAGTTAAAGGGTAGGCATGAGAAAATCCTAGATCTATAGGCAATGTTGGATGGATTGTAGGTTTAACCTTTTTTTTAAAACAAAATAATTTGAAATATTGCAAATATACGGAAAAGCACAGAGAATAATATAGCATACCCAACACCCAAATCTAACATTTTTTTAAACCTCACATGGGTCTAATTTTAGACATGTATACATGTAGACATGTGTAACCTCGTATGGTTGATTGTTTTTCTTTGAAACAATCTCATTTATTTATATTTTTCTTAAATAGTTGAAGGGACAACCAAAAGAGCTAAGATTGCTTGTAATACTCATGTGGCCCCTAGGATGCACCGCCTGGTGGTGATGAGCCAGGTTTACAAGCAGACATTGGCCAAGAGCTCAGATACTCTGGTGGGGGCACATGTAAAGATTCATCGTTGCAACGAGTCTTTTGTATATCTGCTATCTCCCTTACGGTAAGCAGTCTTCATAGTGTTTTGATGTTGTGACGTTTTCTTTGGACCAGGATTTGTCCTTTTATTTGCCATCAGAATAATATTGTAGTCAGATATTTTTCATCGTATTCTTATTCAGAGAAATTTACCTCATTTTTCAGATCTGTGACAATTGAGAAGTGCAGGAATAGCACCTTCATCCTGGGCCCTGTACAGACTGCTCTTCATCTCCACAGCTGTGACAATGTTAAAGTTATTGCTGTTTGCCATCGTCTGTCCATCTCTTCTACAACAGGTTGCATCTTTCACATTCTGACGCCTACACGCCCACTTATTCTCTCTGGGAACCAGAGAGTAACTTTTGCCCCCTTTCATACCCATTACCCAATGCTGGAGGACCACATGGCCAGGACTGGCCTTGCTACAGTGCCTAACTATTGGGATAATCCCATGATTGTGTGCAGAGAGAACAGCAGCACAAGTGTCTTCCAACTCTTAGCACCATGTGAATTCTATGTGTTTATTATTCCCTTTGAAATGGAAGGGGACACAACAGAGATACCTGGGGGTCTTCCATCTGCATATCAGAAAGCACTGGGCCAAAGAGAAAAAAAGATACAGACCTGGCAGAAAACTGTGAAGGAGGCTCGTTTGACAAAGTGAGTATTTTCTAAAAGTAGTAATTTGCCTTATGTAAAACTCCATGGGAAAGCAAATGAACCTGCACATGTTTATAATTGTGCTAAAGAAATCAAAAAGACATAGTGTGTCTTTCACTAAGGTCAGTATCCCAGGCACAGTTTGGTTGGGGGATGGGAGCAAGTGGATACTCAAGTATTAGATTCCTTTCTTTTAAGTAGCTTAACTTTAACTGGCAGATATAAGACTTAAATGAATGAAAGATCATATATAAGGTCAATCATAAATGGATTGGTTTTAGTTTTTAATTTACTTCTCTGCACTATACTAGTGGTTCTCAAACTGCATTGTGCATCAGGATCATCCAAAGAGCTTGTTGAAAATACAGGTTTCCTGGCTCCACCACTCCACAGGCAGACGTGCAAGGGTGGACTCCTAATGCTGGTCCATGGACTAATGCCAGTTTTTGTCAGAGTTTTCCTAATCCATGGTAAAATGTGAAAAATAAGTACAGTGTTTTAAAATAATGCTAAATTTAGTCAATTTAGAATACTGTCTTTTATTCTGAAATTACTTTTTACTTTGGGGGTACTAAAATAGTTTATTTTTAATAACATGCTTGTGATAGTAGGTGGTTATAGTTTATTATGTCCACCACAAAATTTTATTTCAAGGGTTTTTATCTTTGAACTCTAGAAGCCAGGGACACACTATATATAAACCATATATAAAGATTCAGAAAACATCAGTGTGGGTGGTCAGAGATTTATGGAGAAAATAGAATTTGTGTTGGACCTTGAAAAATGAGCAGAGTTTGGAGAAGAAGTGAGGGTTGGGCAGCATACTTTTAACAGCACTAGAGGAGCAGATGTGGAAGCAGAAGCAGACTTCAGGTATCCTGGAAATCAGTTGCTGAAACAAGATTCTGGTTATGGATAGTGATATTTAAACTTGGATGGGTAGATTGAGCCAGATTATGTAGAATCTTGAATATCAGGCAATAAAGGTTAGATTTAAGTGGAATTAAGCCATAAAGGGTTTTGAACAATGGAATGAAAGCCATTTCATTTATTCAGGAACATTTATAGAATGCCTACAATATGCAAACCACTTTATTAGATGCTATGACAGATTAAAAAATGTGATTGGCACATATGAAGATCCTCTGCTTAGATCTGAAAGAGGGAAGTCGGGGTGATATTACAATATTCTAGACTAAGAAACTGGATAGAGTGGAGATGAAGTGGGTGGAGACCAGAAATACTTTGACAGGAGGCTGGACTTGATGCAAGATTTTGTAAAAAAGACAAGAAAATTAATGATGGAGCCCAGTTTAGAAACATTTGATCAGTTTTCTTCTGGCCAGAAGAGCATGTACAACTTAAAAGCAGTGGATGTTCAGAATAAGTAATTATTGTCTATACAAGTATTTTGGTATTTAATTAAATTTTATTTGTTAGAGATATTAGGAGAGGAAACAGTACTGAAAGATGGAGGGGTGCTTCTTCTACAGCACTGTCCATTTGGGAGCTGGAGCTAGTTTGAGAAAAGGGTATCAAGTTCTTTTGGAGGATGTTTACATGAAATGTCCTATATTCTGATAATGTCTTGGTCCTTGAGACTTAGAAAAACTATTACTTTAATAATTGGATTCCATTTGCTTGGTATCAGTCTTTTTGTTTGTTGTTGTTTCTTCTGGTTGTCATTATCTTGGAAAATTAGCCATTCTAAAAATGTTTCTATTTCTGATGATCCAGAACTGTGATTTGATGTGTAAGTAAAAATGCTTATTTTAATTAGATCTCTTGGTTTTATTGGATGTTAATAAAATTAGTGTTGTTCTTTGGATAGCTGTGTCTATATTGTAGTGGAAAGTACTCTGACTCAGGAATTAGTACAGATCATGCCACTTATTGTGTGACGTTGAATGTGTCATCTGACCTGTTAGCTATATCATATATAAAGTATATTTTCTACCTGATGAGATTGATATAAAAGTTTAATAAGGGCTTCCCAGGTGGCGCAGTGGTTGAGAGTCCGCCTGCCGATGCAGGGGACACCGGTTCGTGCCCTGGTCCGGGAAGATCCCACATGCCGCGGAGCGGCTGGGCCCGTGAGCCATGGCTGGGCCTGCGCATCTGGAGCCTGTGCTCCGCAACGGGGGAGGCCACAGCAGTGAGAGGCCCGCGTACCGAAAAAAAAAAAAAAAAGTTTAATAAGGTAACTTATAGTAATGATGTGTGTGTAAGACACTGTAGTGGTGTGTGCTGTACTGTGTGTAGTAATGTGAGTGTAAGGCACCCTGCTTAGTGATGAGTTTGTGAGACACATCTTCTGGGTGAGATTGTTTACCCACAATATCTGAGACCTGCCCTGTTAGAATTAGCTTCATTCTAAGAGAAATTGTTGAAAAAAGACTTGATCCAGCCATGGTATTTTCTGGATGCATTCTTGTGGCATATGAATTAAGGAAAGAAGTATATAATATATAATTACATAGTTGCATTTAGATTCTTTAAAACAGTTGCTACCTGCCAAAAATATAAACATCAATAACAGTCACAACTCATGCTTTACCTGGGAATCCACTGTAGTAATACTGCTGTTATCTGTTACAAACATTCCACCTGGTTTGTATCTCATGGATTGACCCACCAGGATACTAATACTACAGATCAGTCATTCTCAATTTACCAGAATAGTGCTGATGACCATAATAATAGGTAATATGTATTGAGCACTTACTATGTGCCAAGTACTGTTCTAAGCACCTTCTATGTATTAATTCATTTATTCTTCCTAATAGTTCCCTATCACAGATGAGGAAACTGAGGAACCGAGAGATTTAAGTAATTTATCCAAAGTCACACAGGAGCCAGGATTCACACCTAGTCAGCCTGGTTCCAGAACCTGGGTTCTTAGTGTCTTTACTGTTTTCTGTGAACTACTGTCATATATAATATAATCATTATACCGATGTGATATAAAAATGGATCATTGGAAGAACGTTCTTTTAAAGCAATTCTGTTGTTTGGATGCTGCTAGTATTTAGATGGCTAGATTTTCTTACGCATATGAAAAGCTTATACACCTGTGTGGAATCTGGAATGTGGTAAGCATTTAATAAATATTGGTCCGGGAAGATCCCACATGCCGCGGAGCGGCTGGGCCCGTGAGCCATGGCTGGGCCTGCGCATCTGGAGCCTGTGCTCCGCAACGGGGGAGGCCACAGCAGTGAGAGGCCCGCGTACCGAAAAAAAAAAAAAAAAGTTTAATAAGGTAACTTATAGTAATGATGTGTGTGTAAGACACTGTAGTGGTGTGTGCTGTACTGTGTGTAGTAATGTGAGTGTAAGGCACCCTGCTTAGTGATGAGTTTGTGAGACACATCTTCTGGGTGAGATTGTTTACCCACAATATCTGAGACCTGCCCTGTTAGAATTAGCTTCATTCTAAGAGAAATTGTTGAAAAAAGACTTGATCCAGCCATGGTATTTTCTGGATGCATTCTTGTGGCATATGAATTAAGGAAAGAAGTATATAATATATAATTACATAGTTGCATTTAGATTCTTTAAAACAGTTGCTACCTGCCAAAAATATAAACATCAATAACAGTCACAACTCATGCTTTACCTGGGAATCCACTGTAGTAATACTGCTGTTATCTGTTACAAACATTCCACCTGGTTTGTATCTCATGGATTGACCCACCAGGATACTAATACTACAGATCAGTCATTCTCAATTTACCAGAATAGTGCTGATGACCATAATAATAGGTAATATGTATTGAGCACTTACTATGTGCCAAGTACTGTTCTAAGCACCTTCTATGTATTAATTCATTTATTCTTCCTAATAGTTCCCTATCACAGATGAGGAAACTGAGGAACCGAGAGATTTAAGTAATTTATCCAAAGTCACACAGGAGCCAGGATTCACACCTAGTCAGCCTGGTTCCAGAACCTGGGTTCTTAGTGTCTTTACTGTTTTCTGTGAACTACTGTCATATATAATATAATCATTATACCGATGTGATATAAAAATGGATCATTGGAAGAACGTTCTTTTAAAGCAATTCTGTTGTTTGGATGCTGCTAGTATTTAGATGGCTAGATTTTCTTACGCATATGAAAAGCTTATACACCTGTGTGGAATCTGGAATGTGGTAAGCATTTAATAAATATTGACTCTGAATCATAGCATGTTCAAGTGATGAGATCCATGATAACACTAGAAACCAGCAAGAGCATGCAATTTAACTTTGGGAACATGGGAAGACAGAAGAATTATTGAATAATTTGAAAAGAAACTGCCAACACGATCCTTTTAAAGTGATATGATGATGTCATTTCCCTGCTCTGTCCCCTCTAATGGGTCCCCATCATACTTGGAATAAAATATAAAACCTTCACAGTACCTACCAGGCCCTCTCTGCCTCATTTTCTGTCATTCTTTTCCTCATTCACTTCCCTCCCACCACACTATAGTGTTACTTAGTCATTGCTGTCCAGCCAAACACCACCAGGAACATATCTGTAGAATAAAGTTGGATTTTATTATTCATTACAAGGAGGGAGAGAACTAGTTTCATCTCTATAAAAGCGTGTTTAAAAGAACTGATAATTGGATTTTGGCTGTTAGGTGATTTGGGGGAGGGGTGTAGGAAGCAAGGTTTTGTTGTGGGTTGGATGAAATCTGGAAGTGAGGGTAATTCTATGATTTGGTATTGTAATAATTTTTATATTAAAGAGGAGGGAATAAAGGGGCTAAAACTATAATTGTAAAGAAACAGCAGTCACTAATTAGCCAGGAAAGGGTGATGCTCGGTCATTTTTGTGATTTGGACCACAAAATAGTTTTGTTTTTTGTCTGGACCTGAGATATGATTATGGAATGAGTTTTTTTTTTTTGCCTTGATCTAGCATTGTTCCATAGTGGCCTTGTCCCCTGTTGGTGTGCTATGGGATTATTTATGTTCAACAGAAGAGCAGCAGGCCAGATCCCAGCTACACCTAGGCCTAGCTGATGGTGCTAAGCTAGCTCCTGGCTGTCAGGAGCTTCTCTTCTCTTGCTTATCCTGAACATGTTAAATATTCTCTCACTTTAGAGCCTTTGCACTTTTTGTTTCCTCTGCCTGGAATGTTCTCCAGATATTTATTTTGCTTAATCCATCACTTCATTCAGATCTCTGCTTACACATCACTTTAGGCTTCTGTCCATCCTTTTTCTAAATTAGCATTCCAAATACTCTTGATTTCCCTCCTCTGCTCTATTTTTCTCCAAGGCACATACAACTACTTAAGTTCATATACATATTTATTTTATTTATTACCTATTTCCCCTACTAGAATATTCAGTCCACAAGGAGCACAGACTACATAGGTCACAATGTGAATGGCGCCCTCTAGAATCATGCAGTGCAGACCTGTCCGGACAGAGGCCTTTTCTCTTCTCTTTACACATTTATCCTCATCAGTCAGAACACTACCCAGCATCACCTGGTCCTCAGTAAATATCTGTTGAGTGAATAACCACAGTAGAACAAAATATATAATTACTGATAAGTTTTTACAAAGAGCGAATTGTATCTGACCAATCTTTTTTTTGGTGGTGGTGGTGGTGGTGATTCAGTGTATAGAACTGAACAGAGCAGTTATTTGGAGAGAACAAATGGATAACTAGAAATAATTTAACATTTATCCCATTAAAGTATTTTATAATCACTTGGAATAAAATTAATATGAATTAGTATTGCTACATTCTTTTTGCAATTTTAGGGATCAAAGGAAGCAGTTCCAGGTACTTGTGGAAAACAAGTTTTATGAGTGGTTGATTAATACAGGACATCGTCAGCAGCTGGACAGTCTTGTGCCCCCTGCAGCAGGCTCCAAACAAGCAGCAGGATAAGACTTCCTCATCAAAACACTGGTAGGCATTCATAATGGAGAGCACTTAAAACAAATTATTTGGGGGACATCTTACAAGCATACCAAAAAAACCACACAGAATATTATGTTACCAACTATTGCTGATTTTTTCCACCACTCCCACCAGCATATACAGATTTTTACATACCCATATATACTACATTTTATAGTGAGAAGGCCAAGCAAAATATTCAGGTGGAGTCTATAGAGTTACGGGCAAATATAATAGCCAAATTTGTCTTTTTTGTCTCTTGCCTGGCACAAGTTATACCGTCCAAAGCTGTTCTGTACTTCCCCATATATGGTTTTAAGGCCTACCCTTTCTGACACATTTTTCCTCTTTCCCATAATCCCACACATAAATCAATTAATAAGTTAGCTAATCTTTGTTAATTATACATATGGGCATTAATAAATTACCAGAATTAGTCCAAATGAAGATTTGAATACTAAACTCTAGGAGACCTACAGATTCAACAGAAGAGAACATGGATACAGGCAAATTTATTGGAAGTTATTTAATCCAAATATATAGTATTCTTTTTTTTTTTAAAGAAATTAGCTTATTTTGCTATTTTAAAGTATCTTTAGAGACTAACAATAGAAAAACACAAAGGACATAAATAGGTAGTTCACAGAAAGATACAAACACAAAGATGCTCACTTTCACTTAAAATTAAAGAAATGTAAGATACTATTTTTCATGTATCACACTGGCAAGGATCAAAAACAGTATACAACACTGATAAGACATTTCACTTACCTCTGGGGAAAGTGTAAATTTGTGCAACCTTTTTGGAGGATAGTTTGACAAAATCAGAATTAAAAATGCACACATTCTTTGACTTTGCAATTTCACTTCTTAGATTTATCTTACATTCATGTATGTAAGATACATTCATGTATGTAAAGATCTGTTTAAAAGAGATGTTCAGAAACTAACACAACATTGTAAAACAACTATACTCCAGTAAAAAATAAGTACATACATACATACATATACAAGAGATGTTCATTGCAGCATTGTTTGAAATAGCTGTAGGCTGGAAACCAGCCAAATGCTCCCCATTAGAGGGCAGGTGCCTAAAGAACTGATTCATCCATGCCACGGAATGCGTCTTTGAAAGGAATGAAGCACACCCGCACGTGCTGATCCTGAATGACCTCTAGGGGGTGATGGTGAAAGCTGGCAGGGGGCGTAAAATGGTGCCTCGTGTGTTTGAAAAATGGAAAGGGATAATCACATATTTTTATGCTAGTTATATGCCTTAAAATTTTCTGAAAGGATATAAAGAAATTGTTACCAGTGTTTGTCTTTGAGGAATGAGACTGGGTGTCTAGGGTAGGAGAAAACTTACTCTTAATTTTTACTGAGATATTCACATACCATAAACTTCACTTTTTTTTTTTTTTTTTTTTTTTTTTTTTTTGCGGTACGTGGGCCTCTCACTGTTGTGGCCTCTCCCGTTGCAGAGCACAGGCTCTGGACGCGCAGGCTTAGCAGGCCATGGCTCACGGGCCCAGCCGCTCCGCAGCATGTGGGATCTTCCCGGACCGGGGCACGAACCCATGTCCCCCGCATCGGCAGGTGGACTCTCAACCACTGCGCCACCAAGGAAGACCAAAACTTCACTTTTTTAAAGTGAAGAATTCAGCAGCTTTGATTATATTCACAAGTTTGTACAATCATCACCATTTAACAAATCCAGAACATTTTCATCACCCTAAAAATAAAGCCCGTTTACATTGACAGTCACTCCCAGTTCCTCCAACTCCCTATATCTCCTCTGCCGCCTGGTCCCTGGCAACTTCTAACTTCTACTGTTTGTCGCTTGAGTTGTCAGTTCTGGACATCTCATATAAATGGAATCATACAATATGTGGCCTTTGTGTCTGCCTTCTTTCACTTAGCATAATGTTTTCAAGGTTCATCTATGTTCTAGCATGTGTCAGTACACATTCCTTTTTATGGTTGGATACTATTCCATTGTACGGATATACCACACTTTACTTGTTCATCAGTTGATGGACATTTGAGTTGCTTCCACTTGTTAGCTATTGTAATGATGCTGCTTATATGTACTTTCGTGTACAAATTTTTGTGTAGAGATGTTTTTATTTCTCTTCAGTATACTATGCAGAGGAGTAGAATTGCAAGATAATATGTTTAACTTTTTGAGGAACTGCTGAACTGTTTTCCAAAGCTGCGTAAACTTATTCTTTATTGTTTATATATTGTTTACATTTTCAAAGTGTATATTACTTTTTATAAAAAAAGAATTTTACAATATTTAGTTAATAAATACTGAGATTAAGAATTGGAAATCTGATGAAGATTATACGAAGGAAATGGGAACTATAAGAGGATAAAATCTTACTTTAACCCCACAGCCTAATACTTTATGTCTATGTATGAATTTCTTTTCTTCTATTATGAACTAATGTGACCCTCAGAGAAAAGGAATGTAATTAACTTTTAACTTCACATATTTTATCACTCTAAATTATCATCTGACCGATTTATGTGATTTTATGAAAAGGATTTTTTCCTGTTTTTACACGAAGGTGATAGAAAGTTAGTTTTTTGGTTTTGTTTTGTTTTTTTCATATTCAGGGCCCTGGAAACATGAGGATGAATGCAAGATGGTGCACGTGTTGAAACTAAACTGGGAAGGTGCTCTTGCTGCTTAAGAGACTTTGGGAATTTTTCTTCCTATTTAAGACCTTTCCTTAAGTTTCCTTCCAATGTCATTTGCTACCTTTTACATTGAATTTTAGATAAACTTCTATTATATAAACATATAGTTTATAGAACATCAGAAGGCTCATTTTGTGATGCTAAAATGAGAAAGTTGATGAAGGCATTGTACATATGTTAATATTAAAGTGATTGAGAATAGGTTTTATAGTTCTTTGTAACTATTTAAAAGGAAATTACTACTCCTTTTAGAAAAGAATTGGAATGAAAGTATGATTTTTGGAGTATAAATATAGCAGGAAAGATTTTATACAAAGATATTTTAGTCCTTAAAGTATGCAACAATGAAACTGTATAAAATCTTTAGTTTTCATTTCACTTTCTGCTTCAAATTTTCAATAAACTCTAAGAAGTAATCTTCTCCTTTCAATAAAAAGATAAAGCTTTACTTTTAATTTTAGAAAAGATTTCCAATGTCATTCTGTGATGTCATATCAAAATAAAGTTTACATTTGATGGGAAAGCTATGTTCTTTAAGATAAAACAGTTACCAGTTTAATGAATCTGATTGCTGATAAACATTGTTTCATATGCTTTTTGGCCATTTAATTAGTAATTATATCTAAAAGCACTTGATCTCTTATTTCTAAAATGAAAATTAACCCTCAGCATGTGTTTTCATTATAATTGGAGTTTTTATTTTAAACTTGCTTGATGAAATTCAAGCAAGGAGAGCATTACCAAATAAAGAAACACTGGAATGATAAAGTGTCTTTTTGGAAACTGCTGTTGTTTAATGAAATTAATGGGATTAATTAGATACTTTCTTTAAAGTTTATAAAGTTCAGAAAACTAAGCATATAAATTAATACTTTGTAACTCAACAGTCTTCATATCAAGGCACATTTGTCATTTTCTGGCTGACCAAAATATATTTTAGGGGCATCCCATTTATAAAAATATTTGCTGGAGGCTTTGTTAAGGGGAAAGATGAGGAAATTGGGCTTTTGAGAAGAATATATTTAACCAGGAAAATTAAAATGGAGAACAGCTGATTTGTTGTTTCTTTGAGTTTCAGTAAGATGTAATCTCATTCCTAAAATCAGAGGTATATGAAGCACCAAAAACTGTTCCCTACA